TGATATGATTGCACATACAAAGTTTCTGACAGTTTCTGACAAAGAGAGTTTCTCAGCACTTTGGCCTTTTGTTCATTAACAAAAGCAGTTTTATGGGTTCACCTTAGCTATCTGGTATGACAAAATATTCCTGACTCATGTACAATTCCCATGCCAGAATTTGAATCATCTGTATGGTTTATAATAGATACCCTTCTCTTTTTTGTTATTTTTTGTTTGTTTTATTTATTTGTTTACTTATTTTAGAGGTTTTTGCCTTAAGGCATGTGCGCTTGCCAGAGAGAGAAAGACAAGACAGAGATAGTGAGAGGGAAAGTGACAAATCACACCCCCACAAAGGGGAGTGGCCACGCCACAAACCCTTCTCTTCCATTTTCCTCCCAGTATCTTGGGCACACATGCACATACACCGGGCATAAGTTTCAAGCCACCGGGTCTGGGACTCAAACCACAGTCAGTCATGTGAGAGTCCAGTGATGTAGCCGTTACGCCATCCACTGGCCCTAGATACCCTTATCTTATCATAGGTTACGTTCAAATCAATAACATACCAATTTGCGTGTAGTGTAAGAAACTTGTACGTATACTTTCATTTCAACCTTTCTGCTATTTTCATACATTTCACTTTTGCACATGCCATAAGTCCTACAGCACATCGCTTTTATTTTAAGTAATTAAAATAAAATAAATTTTTTTAAATGTTTAGGTTTATTTATTTCCTTCATAAGCAAGAGAGAGCACCCCCAGGAGGGTCTTGATACCAAAATTCACTGCCAGCCTTCACCCAGTCCTGGATCATGGGCACACATGCACCCAGCATCCTTAGGGAGGTCTCTGGAATTGAACTAGTAACCTTACCATGTGGAATTGCCTCACTAACCAACAGTTTTACTACTGTGCCAACATCTAGTCCCTAAAGAAAGTTTTAAATGGGAACAAAAGTTATTTACATTTTTCTCTTATTTATCGATCTTGACTCTCTTTACTCCTTTCCCTGAATGTCCTGAAGTCTATCTGGTATCATTTTTCTTGCCCCTGAATATTTTCCTTTAATGTTTGTTTCTTTGTTTATTTATTTGTTTGCTTATTTATTTGTCTGTTTATTCCATGAGCAGGAGAGAGAGAGAGAAGCAAAGAGCTTACTCAAAAGTGTTTTGACACCGCAATCTAACCCCAGCCTCACCGAATCCTCGATCACAAGCTCATGTGTGCTCAGTGTGTTCAGAAGGGTCTCTGGACATGAACCTGGAACTCTCCCTTCTGGGTCAGCCTTTCACAGTATCATATTTTGCTCCTGCCCCCAATATTTCTTGTTCTTCAAGACTTCAGTAAGATTTTCTCAGTTTTTGAATATGGAAAAGTCTTTATTCTTCATTTTCAGAGGATTATTGCTGTGTGAAGAATCCTAGGGTAGGGGCCTGGCAAACAGCGTAATGTTTAAAGTGCTAGACTCTCACATGGCCAACCACGGCTTGAATCCCAGACTTAGTGGCTTGCTTTCTCACTTTCTCTCTCTCTCTCCCCCTCGGGTCTGATTAAAAATTAAGAATAATAAATGCAATTTTTAAAAAAGAATTTTGGGGTGATGTTTTTCCTTTCATTATTTACAAGATGTCTCTCTACTGTCTTCTTTTGTGCAGTTTTTGATGAGAAGTCTTCTATTATTAACCTTATCTCTTTTCCTAGGTAATCAATGTGTCTTTGTTTCTGAACGTTTTAAGAATTTTTTAGATTTTATTCTAGTTGGGCCTTCATTCTATAGAGTTATAGTTTTCATCAACCTTGAAATTTTCCATCCATTTTTTTCTCCAAATACTCATCTCTGCTCTCCTTTTCCCCTCATTATTTGTTTTATTTACATTTTATTACTGTACAATTTTGCAGCATACAAAAGGAAACTTTCTAGCATGAATATACTGTATATTACTCCAGTTAAAGATACCACCATACACATCATCCTTAACACATGATTTTACACTTTTATGTAAAAGTGTTAAATACTTTGCTTTTCTTTCTTTGTTTCTTTCTTTTTATCTTTATTTTTTTTGGTACTCCAATTATATATATGTTATACTATTTGTTATTGTCCCACGAGTAACTGATGCTATATTATTTTTTAATTTTTCTTTTCCTATCCATGTTTTATGTTGGGTAGTTTATGCTTCTATGTGTTCCGATTTATTTATCTTTTCTTCTTCATTATAATCTGCTGTTGGGCCAGCACATGACATGGTGGTTAAAGTGGCTGGATCCCACATGACCAACTTCATGGTTCTAGTCCAAGACCTGATGGCTTGAGAAACACATTGGGCATGTGTGCATGTATTCCCAATGTCCCAAAATGAGGAGAAATGGAGGACAAGGGATTGTGGCATGACCATTCACCATGGAAAGATGCTTTCTCACTCTTTCTCTCTCTCTCTCTCAAGCACACATACCCTCTGCCAAAAAAAAAAAAATTAAAGCATAATCTGCTGTTAATTTCACTAAGTTGTTTTTCATTTAATAGTTAGCATTTCATCTCAAATATTCCCATGTGAATATGTTGCACATCTTTATTTCTCATCATATTTTTCTCTACTTTTTTGGGCATACGGAGTGTATTTATAATAACTACTTTATCATTCTTTTCTGGGGCTTCCAATATCTCTGTCATTTGTTGATTAGTTGCTGTATTTTGTTGTATTCCTTTAAAGAGTGTTGGATTCTATTCTGGCATAAAACGAAGTTATTTGGAATAAGACTGATTTTTAAGCTTGTTTAGGGTGACTATAGTATATCCTCTAATCTAATATAGCCCCTCTACTAAAGCAATGGCTTTCTGAGAACCAAATGCTGCAGATTTTCCAAGATCTTTTCACTCAGGCAGATGAGAACACGAACCATTCTCATCCTATGCCATCACTAGGAGTTGTTCTACCTACCTCTTTTTAATGGCTCTTTCCTAGGCCTTTGGTAGTTTCCACTTACCTTACACATGCACAGATAAGTGCTCCAAGACTAGAGAGATGCCTCTGAAGGTCTTCACAGTGCTCTCTCTCTCTCTCTCTCTCTGTAACTTCCTAATTTCCGATATTGGGAGCCAAAAATTTTAACAAAGTTGGCCTACTTGAACTTTAATTTTTATCCTCTCCACCAGACCACCAGGCTCTATTTGGGTCCCCCATCCTTGAACTACAACCCCCAGAAACTACTGCCAGGCAGTAAACTGGTGCTATCATAGAGTGCACACTGTTTCCCTTCACTCACAGATTGCAGTCTTGTGCATGTTGTCCAGTGTTTGAAACCATTGCTTCACATACATTTTGCCCAATTATCTTGTTGTTTAAAGCAAGGAAAGTATGGTCCCTGTCATTCCATCTCCACCTAAAAAGGTATCATCTCTTTCTATTTTTATATTTTTCGTCTTATGTCTACTTTAAAGCATTACCTGTTTAAATTATTTGCTTTTGCATTCCTCTCAAATTAGGCTTTATTCTGAAAGTATATTTTCCTTTATTCCTAATTTTTTTGTCTCTTCATTTTGTATCATGTTGTTTTTTATTCACTATCCACAACAACTCTCTGAAATAGATGTTAATATTCTGTTTTTCCAAAGAGGAAAAAGGAAATTCTATGAAGGGAAACCATTTGCTCAAGATCTCCCAGAGATTTAGCTTCATGTGGTGGAGCCAGATTTCAGATTCAGGTTTTTAAGACCTTCAATAGTCCATGCCTTCAACTAGTATGTACCACTGAGCCTCTACAAGGAAATATCCATGGAAGGCAAGGGCTGGGACTGTGCATCCAGAGAAGATGTGAGCCACCCTACAAGGTTTTATTTTTCTTTAATTTTGCCAGAGGGCATGTGACACTAGAGAAAGACAGAGAGAGAGAGAGGGGACGAAAGTAACCTCTAATGAGTCATGGCCATGCCACAAGTCCTTCTCCATTTCTCCTTCCTGTTGGGATATTGGGAACGTGCTCACTTGCACCCAGCATGTTTTTAAGCCAGCTGGGACTGGGATTCAAACTTAACCCTTAACTGGGATTCCCTTAACCACTAGGCCACTGGCTGGTCCAGGTTTTGTCTTAATTGCTGCAAAACTTATGATTGAAATGACTGGACATTTTTTCAGTTTGTCATGCCTCTTGCTTGGGATTGTTGGTGTAATCCCATCCCAATGGCTGTCAGAACACTTTGTTTTCTTTAAAAAAAAAAAAAAATTACTGGGACCAGTGGTTGGCACAATGGCTATGTTGCTGGACTCCCATGTAGTTGACTGCGGTTTGAGTCCCGCACCTGGTGGCTTAAACTCATGCCAGGCACATGGGCGTGCGTGCCCAAGATCCTGAGAGGAGAATGGAGGAGAAGGGATTGCGGTGTGGCCATCCCCCCGGGAGGTAATTTCTCACTTTCTGTCTCTCTGCCTCCCTCTGTCTTTCTGGCGAGCACACGCACCCTATAGCAGAAACCTCTCCAAAAAAAAATTATTTGTGTAATTTTATTTATTATTATTATTTTTCAATTTACTAGAGAGAGAGGGGGGAGGAAAGTGAAAAAGCAAGCCACCAGGGTCAGGACTCGAACTACAGTCGACCATGTGGGAGTCCAGTGCCTTAACCACCATGCCAAGTTCTTTAACGGCCAATTTTTTAAAACATCCTGATTTCCCTCATAGCTTAGATTCATGATTAAGGTAAGTGAAAAAAAGAGTGCTAAAAGAAAAACAGTGATTGGCGGAAAGGATTAAAGACAAAGGAAACTGTGAACCCTCTTTTACATCCATTTTAATTTTTTTTATATATGAAAAGAAATTTTATTATTATTATTTCATTATATAAGCCACTAATGAATACATAAAAGAAAATGTAGATTTTCTTACATAACAAAGGAGAAACATTTCCAATTCCTCTGAGAACCTAGATGTTATCTGTCTGTTGGAGGATCCAGTTTCTGTGATACCGTCCGTGAGGATACCAACAGTGCTTGGTAGTAGAGAACATTTTTCTAGGTTGTTCTATCATGGGTCCTTTCTCAAGGTGTTCACTTTTTTCTTCTAATCTGGTTTTTAGCGCTTGATCATGTGTTTCTTCATTTTTATGCGCAGAATCTGGTCTGCAGGTAAGTTTTGTGTTCATAGGGAATGTCCACAGATGGGTGGTAGCATACTATTGTCCTGTCATCAGAGGTCAAAGCAAGCTCCACTTTGCGATTACAGTCATCTGGGAGAGAGAATATGCAGATTTATGACCAACACAATATGAAGCTCCATTGTGGGTTAAAAGAAAATGTTTCAAGATCATTGTCTTTGTATCACCCACTTTATTGCTGCTCCTACCACGGTGTATCAAAATGCTTCTAAGGTAATACCAAAAATGTTATTCCAAAGAGAAACAGCTTTTAAAATCTGCTTTTAGATAAACGACTTTTCAGTCCTTGACAGATCGTCACTGTGAGTCCACCATCTTGTCTCTCTGTTAAGCCTTTCATGGGGCTTTCAAATCCGGAGCCTGACTCTTCTTAGGACTGACACTGTCTCCCTTGTCTTTCTGCTTTGTGTCAGGGGACACCCAAAAATGCTGGAATCTTCACGGCAAATGCCGCCACAGATGCCACAGGAAGGAGAGAGTCTATGTTTACTGCGTAAATGGTAAAATGTGCTGCGTGCCCCCCAAGTACCTACCGAAAGAGAAGTCCTGGGCATTTTAAGTGCTTCAAAGCCTGAAACAATGAAGCAAACCTGAGGTCTGACTTCTGGCAGATTCGTGAGCTCTATCAATAACCATCGCTGGCTGATCCCTGCGTTGCTTGTTAGACTACTCCAGCAATTCTCAGGAGGTCCCCTTTCAAGTGGTCTGAGAAGCCAAAACTGCTTCTTAATGATAGCAAGACACTATTTGCTTTTTCTAGTCTCTCTCACAAATGTATGGTGGAATTTTCGGGAATCTATGTGAGATAGTATGACATCATGGTTCTGGCAGCTAACAAAAGATGTGCTATATATTCTCACATTTCCAGAATTTTCTAAGGTAGAAGACTTAATGTTTAAGTATGTCCATTTTCAAAGATTAATACAGTTTGTTCTCAATAATTCTACTGTCCTTTTGCAAACTATCTTTGGTTGTATTACTCATCTCTGTAACCTCATGATCATCTAATAAAGCATTACTTTGAAATTCCAAGACTTTTCTGGTATTCTAAGAAATAGGAGAACAGGGCCACCCAGTGGCATGGTGGTTAAGGCAACTGAATCTCACATGATATGGTTCTAGTCCTGAACCCAGTGGCTTGGAAAACACACTGGGCACATGTGCATGCATGCTCAAAATCCCAAGAGGAGAATAGAAGAGAAGGGATTACAGTGTGGCTATCCCTCCAAGGGTGCTGTCTCATTTTCCCTCTTTTTGTCTTTGTCTCTCTCTGGCCAGCACATACAGACTATGTCAAACTTTTTAAAAAGAGAAAAAAGAAAGAAAGAACACTTTGTTGTTTTGGTTTGCAGAGGTACAATACCAATCATGGGGGGCAGCAGTTGGCATAATGATTAAATCATTGGATGGACCCAGTACTAGGCTGTTGGAGGGATGCAGATGTGTCAAAACAGAGAGAGTTCCTTCTCCCTTCTTCCCACTTTCATGCCTCGCATTAGCAAACCCTAAAAGGAAGCCTCTGGCAAGAATCTGAGGCCTAATCATTTCAGGCTGGCAGCCCCAGTGGGTATGGAGCAAAGTGTAGAGAAGACTCTGATTGACGCTGAACTGACATACTGCTTAACTTCTTGGATGTACATTTAAATCTAAAGCATCACCAGAAAAGAAGCAATTACCATTATTAATTATTAAAACTTCCAGAAGTCAGACCGGCCCCATGGCATAGTGGTTAAGGGAGCAAAATTTCACATGACCAACCGTGCAATTCAAATCCCAACCCCAGAGATTTGAGAAACACACTGAGCACTTGTGTGTGCATGCCCCAAATCCTGACAGGATGGAGAAATGGAGAAGGGATTGCAGTATGATTATACTTCATGGGTGACAGGGCCATGCAGACAACACAAGCTGGTAAAGAGGCTGCCTCCCATGTCTAAAAGACAAGGCCTGGACTGGGAAGAAACTGCAAGGCAAGGCCCAGTTTACGAGCCCTCCCTTGTGTCGTTGTACTGGCCTGTACTCAATTTCTCTGCTGTGAGTTTTACTGTTATTACGGTACACTGCAAGGGTAAAATATCACCCCCAACCATTACAATAAAGCCAATTAGTGATCTTGTAGGAATGTGGCTTCCTAAAACAGCACATGAGGGCCAGGAAGTTTGAGACTCCCCCACCTGTCTGTTTTAAGCCAAAATTAACATATGTTAAGGTTAAGTTAGTATAAGCCAAATTAGCATTAGTAGCATATGAAAACTAAGTTAGTTTAAGGCTAGTTTTATGTAAATACCCCTTGTTAAAGCTGCAGGCCACAGTTAACTCATGCTAGGCCAAAGTCAGCATATTCACCACATAACAGGGACTCAGAGATAAAACAAAAGAACTCACTAATTGACAGACTCAGCAAATAAAATACAGAAACCCTCAGGTTTATAAAGAAAGGAAAAGCCTGACTGATGACAAGAGGATGAACAAACCTGAAGAGAGTAACTATCTTAGCTGGGAGCTCTTATCTAAAGCAACAGGTAGTTTTCAACTACAAAGAGTTTCTCATCTATGTGTTGTTGACTATGAAAAACTGCTAATAAAACATCCTGTGTTGTCTCCTGAGCTACAAGATCATCTTCCTTTCCCATATGGGTAATAGGCTCACCCTCTTTAGTTATAATATAGATAGTGCATATATTAACTGTGTCTTTACTTAACAAGACAAGATTTCTATCTAGGCCTTTCTAACCAACAATGTTGCCGCCCTGGCCCGGGACTGAAGTTATCAAGCTGACCTGGGACTGAAGTTACCAAGCTTCCTGCAAGCCCCCTCTTCAAAAGACCCTGTCTAGTAATCAAGACTGAAAAAGAAAATGCACCAGACAAATAGACTCCTTCGTTCTGAGAACTGTGTTTGGCTTCACCTGTTCAAATAAGACAGACATCATGTTTTATGATCATTGTTCCTGTGCCTTGAATTCTCGGTTTCATAGAGTAAATATTTTCCCCCTCACCCCTCCTACTCCTGTAAGACATCCCTCAATAAATACGTGTGTTCGATAGCCGCTAGCGCTGCAGCCTGGAGCGGGCTCTGGCTCTGGCCAGTTGAGAACATGCTAAGGAGCAATGAGGTCTCAGTCTAATTTCTGTTCCTGATCTTGTATGAATCTCAACTAACCCACCGCCGCTGAGGCTGGACCCCGGCACACGGGGGTGCTTCCTCCCTCTCATTTTCTCTCCATCTCTCCATCTCTAGCAAACACACATGCCATCTGGCAAATCTGAAAAAAAGAAACTTTCCAAAGTCACATAATAATGATTTTATACTACAGTGCAGGAATAATGATTCCTTTGGTCTTTATCCTGCACATTTGCTCAACTAAATAGATGTTCAGTTTCACCTGGCACATTCACTGACTTTTTCATGCATGGAAGAATGTAACTCAAGAAAATGAATGTGAGAAACATGCTTTCCAGAAAAAAACTGAATTTAGGACTCTTGGTTTGATAAAATGTCAAAGATATTTCATCTTCAACTGGTCAAACTGGATGATAGTTTACTGAAAACAGATCAATGAGATTTATAATGCTTTTTATTTAAAACGTACAACTATTATAAAATATTTATTCATTTATTCGTATGACAAATATTTCTTGACCACCTATCATATGCCAGGCATCATGTTAGTTACTAATTATATTATATGGAGATGATAAATAGAACAAAAGCAGGCTTTTCCAGCATGGTGACTCCAACTTGTTGAGGAAAAAGGCATTAAACAAGAAAAAAATATATAATTACATATAGCGATAAGGCTCTAAAAAATAAGGGGGCAGGTGTTTGCATCTCACATGACTGACTGCACAGCTCAAGTCCCAAACCAGACAACTCAAAAAACACACTAGGCACATACACAGGCGTACCCGAAATCCCGAGAGGAGAATAAAAGAGAAGGGATTGTGGCGTGGCCATCCCCCTTGGAGGGTGCTTCTCACTTTCTCTCTTTTTCTCTCTGTCTCTGTCTCCAGTGAGCATGCATATCCTATAAAACTAAAAAAGAAAAAAAGGATAAGGGACATGGGAGAGTGTTAGGAGAGAGGTAGGTCTCCATGAGCTGTCAGGATAACCTGGAGTCTACAGGATAAGAGGTTGTACTTGCAGCATTGAGAAAGGTTTGCAGTAGAATACTCTAGGTGGGGAAAACAGCGCATGCACAGACCTCGCTGGTTCAAGAAACAGAAAGGACAGCCGCCTGGCTGTAGATACTGGATGAGGTGTGAGAGGCAGGCAGTGGGGCGGACCACACAGTACTTTGATGTTCGGCTTAAAACACAGGTTCAGGAACAATTTCTGAGTTAGAGAACTGCCTGTCTTTGCTCCTCTGTTTACCAAAAGTGTCTTTTTCCTCAGATTTCTGCTTTACCCTACTCCTCCTCCTGACAGGCTCCCACTTTTAACTTGAACTTCTCCTAAGATACCTTTTCACCTTCAACTCCATACGTTGTTTTATTCTGTCCTCATTTTCCAATGCAAATTCTTGTAGCAGTCTGACTGGTCTAACAGTAAAAAGCACACCAGGCACATATGTGTGTGGACCAAAATCCCAAAAGGAACATGAAGGAAAAAGGACTGCAGAGGGGCCATCCACCACGGTGTGTGTGTGCTCTCTCTGTCTCTCTCTCTCCCTCTTTCTCTCTTTCTATCTCTCTCTTTCTCTGTCTCTCTCTCTCTGTCTCTCTCTGTGGAGAGCTCATACACCCTACAGCAAATTTAAAAATAAATAAAGCTTGCAAAACAGACTTAATTCTGGACTCAGATCATTATAAATCAGTTTCTCATCTACATAACTGTCTGGTAGGATATTTGGATTTTGCTTGGGAAACAGGTCAACGCTTCATATTCCAAGACAGCCACACATGTATGGCATGCCACCTTCGTCCCTCACCCACTAAATTCTAGTAGGGGCCCAGTAATTTTGACGATCAAAAATGCCCCCAACAAATTCCCGAAATAACCCCTAGAGGGCAGTGTCCCCCCTTAGGTATCATTGATTTAGCCATTAAGGGCTGTGGACACGAAATTCTCTCTGCTTGGATCCTCTGCTCTTGATGACGTAGATGAAACTGCAGCGTAAACAGAGAACTTAGCCACATTCAACTACATGTGCTCAGAAGCAGAGGTGTAAAGAAAATAAGATTTTGAGGGGGAAAAATAAGATTTTGAGTTTTTGTGAGTTTTAAGAGAGAACCTTTTTTTATGTTCTTGTTTTCTTATCTGTAATTATTATCAGAAGATGCATGTTCTTGACTGAGAGAGAGAAGACAGAGAAAGAGAGAAGGTACCCCACAGGGGGCGTGGTCACAGCACAATCCTTTTCCTGTTTCTCCATCCCATCAGGATTTGGGACAGGCGCCACGCACACACAGCATGTTTTAAAGCCTCTCAGGCCAGAATTAAAGTGCCCTCAGCCATGTGGGTTCTGGCTCTCTATAAACAGTCCTTAACCGCTATGGGGTTGGGTCGGCCCCTATATATTTTTTTGTTTATTCGTAATAGAGTGCCTGCTTTCATGCGTATGCGAGAGAAGGAGAGGAGCATCCTCCACGGGGTCTGGTTATGCCACAACCCCCTCCTCCAGTCTCCTAGCCTGTTATATGTGGGGCGCTAAAACGTGTGCTCCGCATGTTTCAGGCTAAGGCGGAGGATCCAAACTACAATAACCAGTATCTAGAGTAGGGCATTGTGCTGCACCGCTGGGCCAGCCCTAAGGGGTGGGAGGGTTTGACTCTTTTTCCTCCTTTTAAATCAAACTCATTTTGCCTTTCTGGGCACACACATCGGCATATAAATGGAATTATTCAGTATGTCCTCCTTTATGCCTGTCTTCTTTGACTTCATTCATGTTGCAATAGTTCATTTTATTGATTGAGAGATAGATACAAGCATCTCTAACAGGGTCTCACCGCACCACAATCCTCCCTGCAGCCTCCCAGCCAGCCAGGATCACCAGCACACACAGGTGTCCCCATTGTGTTGGGGTTGACCCAGGATCCAAACTCAGGTCTCTCACGTGGCTCCAGTATCATGCAGTGGTTCCCTACTGCCAAAGCCTCCACAACTGGACCTTGTTCATTGAGTAGTACTGTATTGTTCGAATAGGACTCAATTTATCGATTTACCTGTCAGACATTAGGTTGTTGTTTGAACTTATGGGCTATTACATGTAAAGCTGCTATAAACATTAATAGAGAATTCTTTTTTTTTTTTTGGAGAGGTTTTCGCTATAGGGCACATGCACTCACCAGACAGACAGAGAGAGAGACATAGAGACAGAAAGCGAGAAATCACCCCCCAGGGGGGATGGTCACGCCGCAATCCCTTCTCCATTCTCCTCTCGGGATCTTGGGCGCGCACGCACACACGCCTGGCGTGAGTTTTAAGCCACCGGGTCCGGGACGTGAACCGAGGTTGACTACATGGGAGTCCAGCGACATAGCCATTACGCTAACTGCTGGTTCCCGAGAATTCTTTACATAAGCACACATCTATTGATTTTACAAGTAACTTTGTAAGGGGTTTTCCAAAGTAGTTATTTATGTTCCATTGCCATTAACAATATATTAGCATTCCAGTTGCTTCATATTCTCACCAACCTCGTTATGGTCAGTCTTTTTTCTTTTAAGCATTTCAATAGGTATGTATGGTATCTCATTGTGGTTTTAATTTGCATTTCTCTGATGACTAATGACATTGAACATCTTTTGATGAGCTTATTGATCACATATATAGCTTGTTTTTTGAAATATCTTTGTAAATATCTGCCCACTCTATTAAAAATGAGTAATAGGGGCTGGCAGATGGATGGCATTGCTGGAATCCCATATGGCCAACCATGGTTCAAGTCCTAGACCCAGAGGCTTGCTTTCTTGTTTTCTCTCTCTCTCTCTCTCTCTTCCTCTTTCGCTCTCTGATCAAATTTTAAAAATAATAATTATAAATAAAATTAAATAAATAATTTTTAAATTAATAAAGAAAGAGGCAAAAAGAGCAAGAAGGTAAAGGTGGTAAAATGTTAGTATTTGGCAAACCTGGGTGAAAGGACTATGGGAATTCTTTGAACTATTCTTGCAGTTTTCTGTAAGAAAGTGAAATTATGTGGAGAAAAAGAAGGCCAGTGTTTTTGCCTTTTGCTTAGTAGAAGTGACAGTGCTGGTAGCTGCTTTCACTTACTGAGCACTTACAAAGTGCCAGATGATCTTATCTAACCCCATTAAGAGCTGTCCCACATGGCCAACTGTGGTTCGAGTCCTGGACCTGGCAGCTTGAAATGCATACCAGGGGCATGTGCATGCATGCTCAAAATTCCAAGAGGAGAATGGAGGATAAGGGATTGCGGCATGACCATACCCCTTGGGGGTGAGCTCTCACTTTCTCTCTCTGTCTCCAATCAGCTTACGCACCCTATAGCAAAAAAACAGAAACAGACAAACAAAAAAACCTATCTCAAAAAAAAAAAAAAAAAAAAAAAGCTGTCATTACGCTCATTTTACAGAGAAGGAACCTGACAGACTGGGAAAGTGGTTTGTTCCAGGGCACATGGCCTACAGCCGGTATGGGGCAGAGCTGGGGTATGAACTTGAGCCTGTCTGATCCTCCCACTGCCAGAGTCATCACCATCTTCAAGGTCCCAGAGTCATTCACACTGTATCCCAGGCCATACAAAGGAAACGGCGCTGCTTCATTCTTTCAAAAACAACTGGGAGGGGTCAGAGCACAGAACTAAACTTCCTTCAGTGCAGTTACAAATGTGGTCTAATGCAAAAATTTAACCATTCCCTTGGGGATTCTTGAATTCAGAGAGGCTTTTTCTCTGGTATAATTGCTTAACCTTTCAGATTCCTTCCCTAGTCTCTCTGCTCCTCTCAAACATGGCATAGGGTAGGGTGAGGGGATTGAATGAAGCGATACTAGTGGCCGCCGATCAGTTCTGGGTGGCTTAGGCCTGTCATTAAGGACGCCCACTGGCTCTCCAGCTGTAGCCATCAGTCGTGAGCTGGTCTGCTCTCGCTGACTCATTGAGGCCTGATGGTAATAACAGGCTGGGCGTTGACCTCTCCCGGGTCCTTCTCTATTCCTCTCTAGGATCCAGATCTCTCCTCCCACCTGTCCCTACCATGCTGGGCCCTAAAACAGTCCCCTGGCCCTCAGTTCACCATACAGACCACAGAGGAACTAAGGAAAGAAAAGAAGCAAGACAGAACCAGACTTCTTTTTAAATTTATTTTTTATCCCATGAGTGAGAAAGAGAGATACAGTAATCCCAACTGGGTCTCAATGCTGCAATCCACCCTCCAGCCTCAGTCAGTCCCAGATCATGGGCACACACATGCCCAGTGTACTCAGAGAGGTCTCCAGACTTGGACAAGCAACCTTTCCATGTAGGCTAGCCTCGCAGAGCATCATGTTTCATGGCACGCAGCCACTGTCTGAAAACCCACATCCCCCCCATACACACAAGGCTGTACACTGAAATGAAAATCATTCAGTGTTTCCATCCAGGTTGATAAAATAGCTGCTGTCCAAGCCCCTTGGGCACTGCCTAATCGACTCCAGATCCTTCTGGCATACAAGAAACTAAAGGGTTAACACCTGATACAGTAGATGCCTTCCAAGGCCTCTCCTGCCTCCTCACAGCACCTCTTCTAAGCTTGAGAATTCTGAATGTCCCTGACCCTTTCTTAGCCCACTATTCTCTTGAGCTGGGGCCAAGGCTACCTTTGCTACCAAGACTTTCCCTGAGAGTCTCAGAGGACAGTGAACAAAAGTCCCTCTGCCCTTGGCATTCCTCAACTTATCCAACCATCTTGTCTCTTTCTGGCCTCAATCTTTAGAGGAAATATGGGCAGGCACTGAGGGTCCTCCCCAACTTCCTTTGCCCCAAATTCAAGTCTAGTACAGAGGCTGAAAAAAAAAATCATCCTTTTGGGGCCACCAGGTAGTGTGGTGGTTAAGGCACTGGACTCCCACGTGGTCAACCATGATTCAAGTCCCAGACCTGGTGACTTGCTTTCCCGTTTCCTTTTTTTTAACAGATTTTTGCCATAGGACATGTGCACTTGCCAAAGAGAAAGAGACAGAGACAGTGAGAGAGGAAGTGAGATATCAACTCCTACACTCCCTCCCAACCAGGGGAATGGCCACCTGCAATCCCTTTTCCTCCATTCTCCTCCCAGGATCTTGGACCCCCCACACACCCCCCCACCCACCCACACACTGTGTTCCAAGCCACTAGGTCTGGGACTTAAGCCACAGCTGACCATGGGCGAGTCCAGCAACATAACCACTATGCCATCTGCTGGCCCCAAGTGGCTTACTTTCTCACTTCTCTCTTTCTCTCTCTCTCTGGTGAGTGCCTGTATCAAATTGAAAAAATAAGAGACCAGCACTTGGTGTAATGGCTATGTCACTGAACTCCCATGTAGTCGACCATGGTTCAAGTCCCGGACCCAGTGGTTTGAACTCACGCCAGGCACATGTGCGTGTGTGCCCAGGATCCTGAGAGGAGAATGGAGGAGAAGGGATTGCGGCGTGGCCATCCCCCCGGGGGGAGGGGGGTGGGTTTTCACTTTCTATCTCTCTGTCTCTGTCTTTCTGGCGAGCGCACATGCCCTATAGCAAAAACCTCTCCAATAATAATAATAATAATAACAAATAAAATTAAATAAATAATTCTTTTCTAAAAAAATCCTTTCTTCCCAGCAACCTCTTACATCAGCAGTGACCTGTGACACAGGTCTGACTCACAAGATGTAAGCAAGCAGAAGTCTGTGGAGGGGACTTTCTGGTAGAAGGGAGAGGTCATACCGACCGTTCTTTCCTTGCCCTGTTTTAACCAAGGACCTGAGGCCTGAAGTGCTGGCTATATTGTGACCCAGGAGGATCCCAGGGCTGCTCATCCCAGCATGGTTGCTACCTACCTCCCCACTGCTTTTTATGTGAGAAAATGAAGCCCCTACAAGTTGATTTTCCTGGTTTTTCAGTCAAACACAGTCCTAACGATACAGCAAAGTTAAACTACACATCTGTCTCTCTGCCTCCCCTTCTCTGCTCACGTTTCCCCCTCTTCCTGTCTCCACAGTTCTCTAGGCCCAGAACAAGCAGACTTCCCCTCTATCACCTCTTCCTGCTTCTATAAAATTCATGGTCCCCCCCTACCTGGGCAAACTCTTGAAATGCTAAATTGGGAAATAAAGGAAGAAAAATCCCTTCATTTTCAGCAGAGCTACCTTTCAAGCCAATGCACCATCCCATTCCGAATGCCAGAAGCTTATTATTGACTCCATTATTATTATTATTAACTCTTATTATTACCAATTCTTCTTATTATTAACTCTTGTTATTATTAACTCTACCTATTTTTTGTTTTTTTGCTTTCTTTCTGTAAAGTCCTAATCTCCTGATATTATAATTATCCTCATTTTATGGATGACAAGACTGAAGAGGCTTATGGAGGAAGGGTAAGTCATTTTTTTCCAGAGCTGGTCAGAGAGGGTAATGTGGCCAGGACCGGAACCATTTCAAGGTCATTAATGCCCACTCTCTCTGGATACCTTACCTCCTTCCACCAGCCATCTCTCCCACACCCTGGGGAGAGAGGACCACGAGTGAGCAAGCAGGAACAAGAGACCGCTGGCAGCATGTGTTTTATTGGAAAGCAAAGATGGCCACCTGGAGAAGTCTACTCATAGTCACCATGGGCTATGGACATAGGCTTCAGTGTGTAGGGCAGACAGCACAGGGAGGCATCCGGGCACAGGTGCATGTAGGATTCTTGCCTCGTGCAGTAAGTTCGGCAGGCCCCCAGGCCCTTCCAGCACCGTTTGAATTCACTTCTCCCTGTGCAGAGGAAGACCACAGTTCAGAACAGCCCCTGTGTCACAGGTTAGACCGCTGGTCATAAGATAAGCCACAGGTTAGATTGCACTGATCGTAGTTTAGCTCTTAGGAGATTCATTAGGCCACTAATCACTGATGGAATAGTGATGGGTACTATTCAGACTACAGATGTCAGTCCAGGTTAGCCCACAAGTTATAGGGTAGACCACTAATTACAAGTTAAAGACTAATTTCTTGTTTAGGTACTACCACACAGCAGGCATACTCCAAGCACTTTTTTTTTTTTGAGAGGTTTTCGCTATAGGGCGCGTGCGCTCGCCAGACAGACAGAGAGAGACGGAGAGACAGAAAGCAAGAAATCACCCCCCAGGGGGGATGGCCATGCTGCAATCCCTTCTCCTCTGTTCCCCTCTCAGGATCTTGGGCACGCAAGCACACGCGCCTGGCGTGAGTTTTAAGCCACCAGGTCCGGGACACGAACCGCAGTCGACCATGTGGGAGTCCAGCGACATAGCCATTACACTAACTGCTGGTCCCTCCAAGCACTTTTCATAACGCTATATGATTATTATAATCCCTGCTATCCAGGTAAGGAAACTGAGGCTCAAGGAGGTAAATAACATTATACAAGGTCACACAGCTATTAAGGAGCAGACCCAGGACTCAAATCCAGGCAATCCACTCAGACTCCATACTCAGAACCTTCCACAAACTGACTCTGACACACAGGGACCTGTTAATCTCAGGTTTTAGTGAGAGAATTTCCAACATGGGCCATGGATGGGGAGACAGGTCCTGTACCTCCTCCCACGATCTTAGGTCATGGCATGGCATGTAGTCTCTCTTGATGTATTCATTTAACAGACACTGAGCACTAAGAGCACCACCATGAATAGCAAGACCATAGTCCCTGCCCTCAAGGAGCTTCCAACTGGTAGGTAAGCACTTAAAAACCAGGTAAAGACAGGGCCATAAGGTGGTATGGTGATTAAGGTGCTGGACTCCCACATGGTCAACTGCAGTTTGAGTCCCAGACCTGAAGGCTGACTCTCTCTCTCTGTCTCTCTCTGGTAAGCACATGTGCCCAATAGCAAAAACTTTTTTAATGATAATAATAAATAAAGTTTAATAAATTTTTTTTTTTAAATGGCGAAGTGGGGTCAGCAGGTGGTGTAGGGGTAAGGTGCTTTACCACATGGCTGACTGCAGTTTGAGTCTCAGACCTAGCAGCTCAAAAATCATGCTGGGCACATGTGCATGCGTACCCAAAATCCTGAAAGAAGAAAGGAAATGAAAAGATTGCAGCGTGGCCATCCACGCTGGAAGGTGATTTCTCACTTTCCCTCTCTTTGTCTCTCCAGTGAGCACACACGCTCTCTGGCAAAAATAAATAAATAAATAAATAAATAAATAAATCAAGCAGACAAATAATCTGTGGTAAGTACCCTGGTGGAAATGACCAGGGTAATACAATAGCTAATTGGAGGGGACAAGGAGACCCCTGCAACAGGCCTGTCTATCACAGGGACTTTCTAGACACATGAACTCAGGCTAGTCGAGGGCAAGCAATGCAGAAGAATGAGGGCTGAGTGAGAGGTGGAGCGAAAAACCTTCTTCACATCTCTCAAGATTAAAAGAGACACCACAAAATCCTCAGCTGATGCCTTGGGCCTGTCCATAGGTGTTATCTGGTCCTGCTGACCAGCCCATTCCTCCATCTGGTTGAGGTAGAGAACTTGGAATGATTCAGTGCTAGCCTCAAAATCTCCAAGGATCAAAGGAGCCACACCCTGAAGAAGGTGTATGGTATAACGGTTTAGGGTGCGGTGAGAACCAGAGCAGACTTCCTGGGTTCAAACCCCGCTCTGTCATTTCCCAGTGGAGTGATGCTGCCTCAGATTCATCATCTGTAAAACTCTCTGAGAGGCAGTTATAGGATCATTTTAGAACAGTGCCTGGAACAGAATAAATGCTCAACAAGTCGAAGGTGCCTAGTGGTTAAGGAAGCCAGATCCCACATGGCCAACTGTTGTCAAGTGCCGGCTTTTGTGGCTTAAAAAACATACCAGGCACATGCGGCTTTCATGCCCAAAATCTCAACAGGATGGAGAAATGGAGAAGGGATTGCAGAGTAACCATGCCCCATTTGGGGGGTGGGGGGTTCCCCCTCATGTGTTTATCTGTCTGTCCCTGGTGAGGACATGACCCTGCTGGTAATAAAAAGAAAAAAATTATGCTAACAGGTGGCATAGTGGTTACACCACTGGACTCCCACATGGCTGACCATGGTTTGAGTCCCAGACCCTGAGGCTTGAAACTCACACCAGGCACATATGTGTGTGTGCCCAAGATCCCAGGAGGAGAATGGGGGAAAAGGGATTGCAATGTGGGCATCCCCCACAGGGTTGATTTCTCACTTCTGTCTCTCTGTCTCTCTCTGTCTCGCCAATGAGCGCACTCACCTTATAGCAAAAATCTCTCTTGGGACCAGCAGATGGTGTGGTGGTTAAGGGCGCTGGACTCTCACACGATCGACCACAGTTCGAGTCCCAGAACTGGCAGCTTGCTTTCTCACTTTCTCTCTCTCTCTCTTTCTCTCTCTCTCTCTCTCTCTCTCTCACACACACACACACACACA